CCTACCCTGTGCTAACTTGCATATGACAAATTAAACTTAAAGGCTTCAGATAGTTAAGAGTGAGAAAAATTGTGCTCATGTTTGCAATTTTGTCTTGTTACACAATATTTGGAATGAAATAAAACAAACAAAACACTACATTTTAGGAATGGGTGGTACATTTTGTGGGTGTTTTCGTGTTTGTTTGTTTTTTGTACTACTTGGACACTAAAGTGGCCCTCCAATTAAGCTAGAAGTGGCCCACGGCTCATTTGAGTTTGAGACCCCTGCACTAAGTGAACCGAGCAAGATCATTAAATTTAGAAAAACATGCTTAAAATCATCTGGTCTTCATGAGCTTCATTGCATGTGTGTATGTGTTAGTAGGATTAATACGTTTTGTGCTCATGTATGTCATTTTAATTACCTCCCCCCCCACCCCCCACCCCAAAAAAAACACAAAAAAACAAAAACTGTTTTCTACACTTTCTTGTTTCAGAAACATCTAAAAGAGAAAATCTCTATCTTAGTCAGGCACAACTAACGGCTAGGTACCCCCTCATGATGTGTGCCATTTCCTATCTGATTTTTTCTCCCCCTATATGGAGGAATACAATGGCCCCACACTTCAAAAAACAGAATTTTGTGCTTAGATAATGAATTGTAGAATAAATTCTGTATTTGTAAAGTCATTTTTGAATTCCACTTTAATATAGTGATTTTTGAAATTTTTTTTTAAACCTCATTAGGATGGTAATGAGGTGCTTGGAAATGTTGTAGGTGGCTGAGTTTATACTGCTACCAATGAGTCTGAGCAGGACTCATTTGTGGAACTATGGAAGTCCATATATACAGGGCGTAGCATCCCCTGGGTATAGGCGGTGATGTGCAGGGCAGTCAGTGGCTTCTTCCCTTTCAAGTTCTTGAATACACCTGATGACTTTCTTTTTGTAGTTGCTACTGAGGTTTCACCTTGAAGCTTCAGGTATTGTTGTCACTGAGGAGTTTGGTAATGTTTATTTGCTCTGCTTCTTTTTGTCAGG